CCGAGGGTTTTAAACAAATCCGTAAGTATATAAGTTTAAAATTATTAAAAATATTTTTATTGTGTATGTTACTAAAAAATTATGCTTTTCGGAATTTTTCCTTTATATGTGCTATAATACGTTGCTTCGTTCCAAATTTTAAGATTCTAAGTTCACGGGAAATACCCTGTAGGTTTTGATTCCCTTACGAATGTCAAAAATTTGCGGCATAAACGGCTGTGTCTTTTGATTGCGTTGGATTAGAAGTTTGATTTTTTCACAGCTCCAAGGGACAGTAGACTTGAGTATTTGATATGAATTTCAGCTTGATACCTCCACGCATTCCTGGGAAAAAGGGTCTTGACAGACAGACAGACAGACAGACGGACAACAATGTGATCCTATAAGGGTTCCGTTTTTTCCTTTTGAGGAACGGAACCCTAATGATCGCGCCTCAGTGTCTGTGGGGTACCACAGTACTGGTTTTCAGTCAGAGTCTTTATTGACAAACGAACAATCGGACATTTATGTAAAAATGCACTTAGGCTACAAAAAAAAAAAACAATATTAATAAAAAGTTAAAACAATAATAATTGTTATAATGTGGTAAGATTAAAGTCTGTCTTGTAACTACTTACGAGTATAACTTTAAGACGTTATATTATGCGTAGAGTATACGGTATACATAACATAAGGTTTATATACACTGTGTTCTGTTTCTATTTCTGTGATCAAAAACAAGTAGATACCCTTAAATTATAATAGAAAGTGATTTCGATAATCCTCGATATACGTAAATTAACAAATAGTTAGGAAAATTCAAATAGTGCACGCCTCATGAACGTTTCATTTAGTATTGATGAAAAAAAAATTACTAAAATAAACCGATTACACAAAGTATAAAATTGATATAGGCTGTATGGTACATTTGCCTTTTGTCTGTGAAGGGCTAAAGAAAAAAAATGAAAGCGGCTTTGAATTTTTTATAGAAATATAACTTATAAAACTTGAAAATTATTTTATTAATAAACTACGCGCGGCTATTGATATGAAATAGAGAACCAATTGATGTAATTTTGAAGCCAATAAAAAAAAACCCGGTCTCGTTACGTCAATTTTTTCGGGAGTTATCGTGACCATATACAAAATCAACATCTGGACGTCCACGTAAAATTTCTTTCAAACCGTTTTTTATCAAACCAGCGATATAAAATTATTTTTTAGAGAATATAAGATGGATTAATTAGTGTTTTCTTGATATAAGGCTGCTCATAATATCGTATAACCATAATATGGTTTATTGCTATTAAAAATTTAAAGGCACTTTAATATTTTTTTAGGCCTTGATAGACAAAGGACAAATGTACCATACAGCCTATATAGATTTTATACTTTGCGTAATCGATTTATTTTGGTAATTTATTTCTTTCATCAAGATTAAATGAAACGCTCATGAGGCGTGTACTTTTGGATTTTCCAAGCTATTTATTTTTATTTACAAGCGCTTTTCTTGTAGATATTTGTTACTTTTTATCACTTTTATCACGTGAAATATGGTAAAAATGCTAAAAGCTACGAAAACACAAAAAGGAAGCGTAGATTCAGTTATTCTTGATGTTTCATATGGTAAATGTGACAAAATCTAACAAAATTATGAGGCGCGTGTAGATTTAAACGATTTATTTTGGGACGAACCTAATGCGATAGTGTAGTCTTTTACTAATACTCAACTAATAAAAATTTAATTTTACACTATATAATAATATTAAAATATACGTAGGTAAACATACTAATAAAAACCATATATTATAAACATTAAGCGATATAAATGAAATCAGTAATAGATATGAGCGCCCAAGACCAATTCCACGGCGGCGGCGGCATCGCGGCGGCGCGGCGTGGCTGTTTTATCAGGAAGAAATTTCTTAAAAAAAACTTAAAGTAAACCATATTGTTGGTACCAAAAACAGCTTTATATTTTTTAATAAATTTCTCGGGAAGCCCATAGAAAGGGAGCTTCGAAAAAAGCGCTTTGTGCCAAACCCGATCGAAGGCCTTCGCAATGTCCAAACTAACGGCCAATGCCTCCCCTTGGACTCATATGCCTCCGCCCATCTATGAGTCAGGTAGACTAGAAGACCATCACCAGCTGACCGACCTCGAACCGTACCGTAAAACCGTATTGGTGGTCACTAATTAGCTGGTGGTCCTCAAGATACCGTATGAGCTGGCAGTTTATAATGGATTCCATTATTTTGGAGAATAAGTTGATGAAGATAAACATAGCTAGACGGGTCTGAGCGGTCGCCTTTTTTAGTCAGCCTGCAGAATGCAATCGCGATGTTAGTGTGAGTGGCACCACACTCCGGACTGGACAATGATCTGAGGAGCCAAGAGGGCAGTGGACGGTGACCTGATATCTATCTGAATGAGAGGTCAGCATAAGGTCCAACAGGGAAGGTGCATGATCTTCCACATCTGGAATCCGCGTAGGCGAAGTTACTAGTTGTGTCAGACCATGTGCCAAGGCAATATCATGAACAGATCTCCCCGCATGATCGGTTAAACGTGAACCAAGCCATTCGGCGTGGTGGGCGTTACAATCGCCGAGGATCACAATCTCTGCGGATGGGATCTGCTGTAGCAAGGAATCTGCACAAGCACTAGGACTGTTCCAATTTGTACCCCGGGTAGGAGAGATACCAAGTATCAGCCGGAGAGGACACCTGCGTCTCAGTCAGAAAAAGCAACGCTGGCTTCGCCGTCTCGAGATGGTAATGGACGGCGTTTACGTTCGAGTGAAGTCCCCCCCGTCCCCCCCCAGAATACATGGGGCAGCCTGAGCAGCCAGGAGTGGTAATTCCCTCCTGAGGAGGAGAGTAGCTTGATCGTGAATGCTTCTCCATTACCAAGGGTGCTGGTACCCTCCTGGGATAGTACAAGGTGGCCCAGAAAGGAATGCACTTTTGAAAAATAAAATAATACAAAACTATTATATTTAAAAGCGTTTAATTTGTTACAATGTAAAGTTAATGAAATGTTATTTTATTTTTTGAAAATTATATCATCAAGATGACACCCTTGGCGGTTACGACACTCTTCTAAACGAGCACGAAAATTCTGATAAACTTTCGTAAGGGTTTCTCTTGAAATGGATTCCATTTGTCGTTGAATATTCAGCTTTAATTGCCGTTACGTTGTCGGATTATTGGAGTATACCTTACTTTTAAGGTGTCCCCATAGAAAATAGTCTGCTGGACTTAAATCAGGGCTCCTTGGAGGCCAGGAAATGTTACCTCTCCGTGAAATCACTTTTTGTGAAAACATATCCCTTACCACGCGCATGCTCTCATTTGAAGTGTGACACGTGGCTCCATCCTGCTGAAACCAAGTTGTCTTATTGTAACCTCGCGATTTTTGCAATTTACGAGCCAGAAAATCTGTCAGCATAACTATATATTCCTCTGAATTTACGGTAACTGTCCGACCACAATTGTCTTGTTGGAAAAACGGCCCGATGATACCCCATCTGGCGATTCCAGCCCAAACCGTAACCTTTCGTGAGTGAAGTGGCTTCTGGTATTTTAGACGGGGATTCTCTGCAGTCTGCAGCCCAAAACCGGCAATTTTGCTTATTCACGAAACCGTGTATATGAAAATAAGCTTCATCGGAAAAGATAATGTTATTAAACTCAGTGAAATTGTCGAACATTTCATTTGAAAAATTTAATCTCGATTCAAAGTCTTTTGGATTCAATTCCTGCACTAATTGAATCTTATAGGGATGTAATTTCATATCCAGGTGCAAAATTCGCTGCAACGTGGATCTAGACACGCCTAAAGCAAAGGAACGTTTACGAGTCGACATTCTTGCATTCGAGCGCAAAGATTCTCGAACTTGCTGAATGGTTTTGTCAGTGCATCTCTTTTGCGAACTTGAGGGCGTGTTTTTTGTGTTGATCCTGTTCTTTCAAATCTCTTTACCCACTCTTTAATTAAATTAGTGCTCGGACACTCACTAATACGCCGTAGTTCGAATTTAACACGAAAAATACGTCGAACAGTCACGTGAGATCAAAGGTTCTCGTAATAGGCGCGGACACAGAACGCGCGCTGTTCTCCCGTATAGCGACTCATTCGGTCACTCGGTGAAATATTCGACCGGACTGAGTGAGTGACGAGCGTGGCGACTGGCGAGGTGACAAGGCGAACTAATACGGTCGGGCCGCGCGTGTGAGCGGGAAAGGAAGTTGCGACTCGTTGCGACGGCGGCGCGCCGGCGCGGCGCTCATACCTAATCAGTATACAAAAACTGTGCAAAAACAATAACTTTATTCAAAAACACTTTTTTAATTCTTATAATACCCTAATAGTAACATACGATGTATAATATGACCTTTGCTAATTCACTAAAGTGGTAACAAAATATGTCAATATTATCATGCACACTTGACCACATGAAGAGCTCGAGTAAGAGGCGTTTTGCTAGGACATGATCTCTACTTTATTATAGGCAGTTGTAGCACGAATGGGTCGGCTCTACTAGAAGGGCCACGCTCTCACAGAATACCAGCGTAAAGTAGCAGCTTAATGCTGCTGTGTTTCGTACGCTTAGTGTAGAGAATCGGAGACGTTTTTCACTGAATACGAGGCATTCTATATTAGTAATCAGTTGTAACAACGCATTTGTAAGTTGATTTTTAACTTAATATAAATGTAGATAGATGTCTACGGGCCACATTATCCACTTAACATCAGGTGGACTGTATCTTCGTTTGTCACCCTTATATTATAATAAAACATAGGGTGGTGTTAACTTCTTCCTTTTAAGTCAGTTTAAAAAAAAGATTTACCAAGCCCTCGGCGGTGAGTTCAACATCGCGAAGAATCCTTTTTAGCCGAAAAAAGAGGTTTAAAACTAAATGTGTCAAATTATATTGGACACGGTTGACCACTCTAACATTTTGAGGCGTTTTTGCAAGGCGATGATCTCTATCTTATTATGTACAGTAATAACTTACCCAGAAATGACAGCGATGCTAGCCATGAAGCCTGCTGATCTGTGAGATGGAAGTCACGCCGGGTGGCGTTAGCGCCGGGGCCCTGGAGTGAGGCAATCGCAGGGGAACTGTAGCCCTTGCCAAGTCCCGCTGAGAACGGGGCCAAGGATACTGCGAGAGCTGCTAGCACCTAAACAGAAATATAAAAAAAATCATGTCTTTTTCTTTTATCTTTGGCTTTCTGTAACTGAACATGAAAAACGTTCTGTTTTTAGGGTTCCATATCGTATTAAAAGAAAAATAACGGAACCGTTACATGATAATTTTACTGGCTGTCTATTTGTCCGTCTGTCAAGACTCTTTTTATCAAGAACGGCTAGGGATATCAAGATGAAATTAAAAATAATAATGTCCTCCAGATTTTCGGTCATGGCGATCAGTCTCAACAGAGACTATATTATAGTGACCAATGTATGCGCAAGTTCAGATGCACCCTCTAGTCCCTCACTCTCATAGCCCGATGGGACGGTTATCCGACCTGACTGGAGAGGGATCAGGCACAGGACCAACGCCTTTTCATTCTTTCCGAGGCACGGGGATGAAACACTGCCAACTTCCTGATTCCGCATTTCTACTGAGAATTTCGTGACAGAAAAACTCAATAACTAATTTTGGCCGGGATTCGAACCTGGGATCTCATGATCATCAACCGCATTTACTACCACTAGACCCACTAGGCAGTCAATTAATAACAAATATTACTAGTTCTTAGGTTGTAACAATTTTAAGCTTCTAAGTCAACACGAATAAAATATACGTCAATCTATGTTTAGAGACCAGATGTGGAGGATCTCTCCACATCTGGTCCACTGTTGGATCTACTGCTGACCTCTTATCCGGACGGATATCAGGTTTCCGTCGGAGCTCCTTTAGGCTCGTCGGACCATTGTCTTGTCCGGAGTGTGGTGCCACTCACACTAACGTCGCGGTTGCGTTCCGCAGGCTACCGCCGTGTTTGGCAGTATGGTTCGACCGATTGGGATAGGATGCGGTCTTTTTTTGCATCCTTCCCTTGGGCGGGTTTGATTTTCGCCGGAAGATCCCAGCGTTGTTGCTGATGTGGTACTTTCAGTAAAAGTAATTTAGAAGAGGTTTTCGTCATCGTACAACTTCCTTGTGAAATCGATTACCACCAGCGATTTTTCCGGACCGATACGACTTAGCCACCTTCAAAAAAAGAGCCTACTCCTTTTTTTAAAGGCCGGCAACGCATCTGCAATTCCCCTGGTGTTGCAGTTGTTCATGGGCGGCGGTAGTCACTTACCATCAGGTGAGCCGCACGCTCGTTTGCCCCCTCTCCTATAAAAAAAATAATATAGGAAAAAGTCTTTGTCTCCTTTCACATCAACCCTCCCTAAGCTGCCTCAAACATAAGTCACCCGTATTACGCGATAAATAATAGGTAGTGTAGGTATGCACCCTACTAACTACCATAACCCAAAACTGGGCACCGCTGGCACCACACTAGTATCGGCACTGCACGATGCAAGAGAAAATTCTAGTGAAGTATTTTTTAAAGAGGTTATCAAAAGAAAAAAAGAGACGTACGTGACATTCACTGTGTTATCGATATTTTTAAATTCAACCCTAGATGGTTTTAAAAGATAGTAACGGCACGTTCTCTACGTGATCGTGGAGTGAACGGCGTGACACTTGTGAACATGTTTACGAAATTCATATTAAATAAGTCAACATTTAACAGAGTTTCGTTTTTACTTTGATGATTGACAATACTCGGTTGTCTTCTGTGTGTGCTTCTTAGCACAGCAGGTATCGGTTCTCGGGGTATCCCTCATTACCCGGGTTCTCGTCACGGTCCAACTCAGGGAACCGGTCGTGGGAACTGTGGTATTGTAACTAGCTGTTACGTCAGGAATGATGTCATTTCAAGAGATCTTAAGATCAAATCCATCCAAGAATTCGCGGCCCGTACTGCGAGACGGTTGTTCGACCGCGCAGATAACGGGCCAATCCACATCTCCAAAATCTAGCACCTCTCCACGCGCGCCCACCTGACGGGCGACCACTCCCACGTGAACTTCTACGCCCACCGCCCGGCGACGGGGACGCCTCGGGACACCTCGAGACCTGTAGAACCTCCTGTCCCCAGAAGGGGGACCAACAGGAAAAGAACACCACTGGCATTGTAAATGTAGGCGGCGGACGGGGGTTCGATTCCCCGTTCGCTGCAAATTGGTATCAATCAAATCTAAGTAAGTCAATCAGCGACATTGAGGGTTGTTACTCGACTCTCTAATCTCTATAGACAGGAGTTAAATTGACAATGACTTTATTCATTTTCTAGGTTCATTACTGCTAGAGTCAAGCTGTAGCTATGCTAGCTGTACATTACTCATACAGTTGTAGTACGAATGGGTCAGCTCGACCTGGGTAGGACCACGTTATCACAGAATACCAGCGTGAAACAGCTTAATAATGCTACTGTGTTTCGTATTATTTTATATATGAGAAGGAGCAAACGAGCATGCGGATCATCTGATGGTAAATGGTTACCACTGCCCGAGAACAACTGTAATGCTCTAGTTCTCTATTCAATAGCCTTTGTATGGTGAGTAGAGAACTGGAAACCCTTTTTCTACCGACTTCAAAAAGGAGTCTAGTAGAGTACTCGATTCAGCTGTATGTTTTTTTATGTGTTACCTCATAACTTTTACTGCGTGAACCGATTTCGATAATCCTTTTTTTATTCGAAAGCTGGTGCTTCACATGTAGTCCAATCCAATTTGATTAAGGTCTGAATAATAGTTTTTGAGTTATTGTTTATAACATATATTAAAGTCAGTTGTACACATTTTTTTATTTAAAATATACTGGTAATGAGACGGGTAGTCCTCAGGGGTTACGCAACGCATCTGCATTTTGATTCTTAAAGGAGGATAGATATAGAGATACTTGTGTAAATAAATATTGAACATTTTTAATTTTTTGACCCTTTAGACTGGAAACGAAACATTTCATATTAGTCCTTAGAGATAACAACGCAGCTGCATTTTGATTCTTAACCGAGGATAGATCTACATGTCTATGGCCCACAGAATTCACTTAGCATCACGAGGACTGTGTGCTCGTTTGTCACGTTTATCCCATTTTTTATTAATACGTCATGTGTGAAACGTCGTTGTAAGTATCCGCCCTAACAGACGTCCACCCCTTCCCGTGACGTTGTAGGAAAGTAAAAAATCCTGAGAAAACCAACATATCTGAGAAATTAAACAAAATTGAGGACATGTGAAGTCTGACATGCACTGGGGGAGTGCGACGGACTTTTCCTTCTCAGGAATAAGAATCAGAGGTTAATAGTAAACGTAAAAGTAGAGTATAGTTGTAGCACTAATTTGTCGGCTCAACCGGAGAAGGACCACGCTCTCACAGACTACCAGCGTAAAATAGCAGTTTAACGCTGCTGTTTTTCATATGGTGAGTGTAGAGAATCGGACACCCCTTTTACTGGAAACAAGGCATTCCATCTTAGTCTTCACGGGTTACAACGCATCTGCATTTTGATTCGTTTTCGAGGATAGATGTAGATGTCTATGGGCCACAGCAACTACTTACCATCAGGTGGACTGTGTGCTCGTTTGTCACCCTTATTCAATATTTAAAAAAGTTGTATACAATTATATAAAATATACAAATTAATTTATATAGGTTTTTTTTATAGCATAAGGGAGACAAACGAGCACACAGTCCACCTGATGGTAAGTGGTTACTGCGGCCCATTGACATCTACATCTATTTTCTATTACAAAACAAAATGCAGATGTGTTGTCCCCCGTGAGGACTAAGATTGAATGCCTCATTTCCAGTAAAAAGGGTCTCCGGTTCTCTACACTCACCATACGAAACACAGCAGCGTCAAGCTGCTATTTTACGCTGGTATTCTGTGAGAGCGTGGTCCTTCCCCGGTCGAGCCGACCCATTCGTGCTACAACTATACTACTAATACAGCTGCACCATGGCTCTACCACGTGGGAAAAATTTTAGGTATTATATTGCTCGACTACAGTCGTATCATTAATAGAATCAGGCGTTACTTTGCGGAAATCCATTATATAAAAGCTTTTACAAAAATTTACTTCGCAAATATCCGCGTTATAAAATAAAATGATGTGTCTTACCTAGTATGAAGAAGCACCTCCCGCCCTCCCTCAATTGCGTGCACTATCCCCGTCACCACTAATCCCAGCACCACTACTTCCAACACCACTACACTAGGCAAGACACACCACTGACGATAATACGACACGTGTTTCGCCTCTACACGAGGCATCCTCAGGTGATATAGACTCTACGGTGGCTAACCGCTAAGTGCCAGTTAGCCACCGTAGAGTCTATATCACCTGAGGATGCCTCGTGTAGAGGCGAAACACGTGTCGTATTATCGTCAGTGGTGTGTCTTGCCTAGTGTAGTGGTGTTGGAAGTAGTGGTGCTGGGATTAGTGGTGACGGGGATAGTGCACGCAATTGAGGGAGGGCGGGAGGTGCTTCTTCATACTAGGTAAGACACATCATTTTATTTTATAACGCGGATATTTGCGAAGTAAATTTTTGTAAAAGCTTTTACAGTCGTATCATTCGACTACTGTCGTGAACCACTCCTAACGCAAACATTTTAAGCTTACCGGGAGTGGTTAAAGGGAATATTAGTTATGTTAATAGCAATGCTAGGTTTTTTTTAAATAAAAAAATATTTCTCTCTTACAAAATTTATACAACATTATAATATTTAATCTAAAGTTAAGAAGATATAATCCCACAAACTCCGCAGTAAAGCTGTCACAATCCGAGCGCGGTAAGACATCCGATTAGGGTCGACCTAATTTCCCTGAGACCGTCCATAAACAGTATGAAAGTGGGCTTCAACTGTCAAAGGACTCTCCAGCGTGTTCCACAATAGACTGGAAGTGACTGACACAACAATAAACAGATTATTATTTGGTTAAAAATATTAGCGAATATCGGTTAGCGTTAAAAATCTACATCAATAATACCCGCAGGTCGAGATGGACTAAGCTGCTCCATAAATACTGCTTCACGTCTCAGACGGTAACGTGTTGAAGCAGTATGTAAGCGTGTTAATCTTTAAGAAGTGCTAGTTCGTTTACTCAA